ATTTGTTTAAACGCGCTGATCTCTAGAATGTTCGATGTTGAATGAAGATGCGATGAAGGTTTGATGTTGAATTAGGTATTTTCCTGGGTCAAAAATAAATTACTTTAATTTTTCAATCCAATTAAATATTCAACAATAATTACAATATCATTCATATATGTATTTGGCGATATACTTAATTTTAGATTTATTCTAGCACTAGCTTTTACCCGCGACTTCGCTCGCGTCACAAAAGAATAAAAAGTAGCGTATGTGACATATACTAATACACACAGCGCCATCTATACCAATACTTTTGTTTTTTCTCGGGAATATAAATTTTTTCCGGGTTAAAAAGTGACTGCACGGTTGGTGCGGTGCGGAAGATTGGTGCGGTGGCTGTACAACCGGCTGCCGTGCAACGTGTCGTGGGTTCGATTCCCGCACGGAACAACACTTTGTGTGATCCACAAATTGTTGTTTCGGGTCTGGGTGTCATTGTGTATGTGAACTTGTATGTTTGTAAACGCACCCACGACACAGGGGAAAATCCTAATGCGGGGCAACGTTTTTTTTTTAACAAAAAAAAAAAATTAAAAGAATCCTATTATTTAATCCGGACTTCTAACTTTACGTCTGCAAAAATTCAAAGCAATCGGTTGAGTAGTTACGGCGTGAACGTGGAACAAACAAACAAACTCACTTTCAGATTTATAATATTATTAAGTAATGATTTTTTTTCAGAAATAGGTATGCTATTTGACTAGTACCTATGATGACGTCATAAGTTAGTTTTTGGTACAAAATTCATAGATCAATATCGTTTTTGACGTATCGATAAAAGTATTGAATTTGAATAGTCCATTTATCGAGAAGTTATAGGCTATAAAACGTCACGGTGAACCCGAGTGGGAGTGGCTAGAGAAGTATATTCCTGTTACCACGAACACAAAGCCTAGTCATCTACATAAGTAAACAAGGGCCACAAAGTACTCATGAGGCGAGTGATTCGTGTTAATGCGCTTACCTGGCACTAGTACAAATGGCCAGTGACTGCACACAGTAATCGAATTAACTCGGTAAACTAACATGCAAGGGCAGATAGATAATCTAGCTGCTAACTATCAGGGTACCTCGCCAGTTATCGGATTTGTGCAATGCAAGGGATTCATGTTTAATCTGTATGTTCAGGATACTCGATATCAAGTTGCTTTTATTTTATTGATCTTTCTTTATTTGAACAATTATCAATTTTATTACCTTGGGAATAAGGGTAAAAATTGTTCTTTGCTTTGCTTGAAACTTTTCTACCTCAATGTAGAAAATACGATCATACAATGCATTTCAGAAATAATGAATTAAAATGTTTTAATCTGCCATAACATTTCTGTAATAAAATGTTATAATCTGCCAAATTAGAAGTTACTTAAAATAAGCAATTCGTTATAATTATGAATGTTCAGCTGGTGGTAAATTTTGATATCATTCAATTGAAGAAGATAAATTTAAAGTAAATAATGAAATTCGTTGATTAATTATAGATTCTCAAATAATAATTAATATAAATAAAATTGCTAATAATGAAATATATGACCCTAAAGATGAAATATAAGTGCCATAGGTTTAGTTGAGCAGGTCATGAAATGTTAGTGACTTTTAGGTGTTAAAATTCTCAATCTGGATAGCTCAAACAGTTGTTCCATATTTCTGTAACCTAGGTATGATGTGTAGGTATATAAAAGTTCTAGACTTTTTTCAAAATACATACCTCATTCTCATGTAGTCTGTGAACAGTATGCACTCTGATTTGGAACATCCACGCCCTGCCGAGCACCGCTACCGTCCCGCTGAGCAGGAGCGGCATACTGAACCGGCACTTCCACGCCAGCCCCATCAGGAAGATAAACAGACTTTTGCGACCAGCCATCCCTACATGCACATCATACCTGCAAGATCAACAAAATAGTTCTTTACGTTTTTTTATACTAGTTAGGTAGGTACAACAGCACGCGAGATAGGTAGTAAGTGTGGGAGAGTCATGCTTCGGCACGAATGGGCCGGCTCGACCGGGGTGATACCACGGCCTCACAGACAACCGACGTGAACCAACGCTTACGTTGTGTTTCGTTGTGTGAGTGAGGTTACTGGAGGCCCAATTACCCCTCCTCTTCCCCAATCCCCGAATCCTCAACTATCCACACAATCCTAATCCCCAAAAGGCCGGTAACGCACTTGTAATGCCTGATATTCCAGGTGTCCATGGGCGATGCCGATTGCATACCATCACGTGCCCCGTATAATTGTTTACCGCCTAATCCTATAAAAAAAACGATCAACCATGGCCTAAGTACCTACTTACATTTGCAACACCAGAGGTAAATATGCGTTGCCAACTAATGAAGGAACTGTTTAATCACGTTATCTATCGTTTTCAGGAAGAATGTAGGGTATCTAATCGCTGGGCTCGCTGCCATTGCAGCGGTAAGTCCCCTCTTTGAGGAGTGGCTTGAGAGACGCTACGGCGTCCTCACCTACCGCCTGACGCAGGTCCTCACCGGACATGGAAGTTTCGGGAGGTACCTGTGTCTGATGGGGCGGGAGGAAACGCCCGGGTGTCATCACTGCGAGGACCGCCCTGAGGACACGGTGGAACACACAGTGGGAGAATGCCCTGCGTGGGCTGAGCACCGCCGTGCCCTCAGGGAAGTGATCGGCGATGGCGACCTCTCGCGTCCGGGCCTAGTGCAGGCCATGATGCGGAGCGAGGGGGACTGGGATGCCGTCTCCTCCTTTTGCGAAGCAGTCATGCTAGCTAAGGAGGAGGCGGGACGCGTGAGGCAGCGAAGCGCTGCCTCCTCGCAACCCAGCCATCGCGAAGGACACACCGGGCGTCGGGGATCGCGGGACGATCTCCGGCCACCGTAAGCGCGGGCCTGCGGACGGCGAGCATGGGTGGCTCCCCGTCCGACCAGAAACAGACCCGAGGGTACGGCGCGTCGCGTTCCGCGCGCGCCTCAAAGAGCCATCAGACCACCACAGATGGGGCCCAATAGGGCCGATGCCGATTCGGAGTCGCGGAGAACCTAACGGGTAACCGGGGCTCCGGCTCGACGTGCAGGAGAAGGAACGGGGTGGTTTTTAGTCAGTAAGAGTCTGACACTCCCTTCCGCCTCACCCAGGCGGGAGCAGTCATTCGATGATTTTCCCCCGTTAAAAAAAAAAATAAAAAAAAAATAAAAGGGTATCTAATCGCCGATTTTTTATTTTATTTTAGGTTCTGAAGGTCATTCAAGTACTTCTCCCGCCTTGTGGAGGGAGTGGCACTCTTATTGAATAAAAACCATCCCGTTCCAACTCCTGCTTCGAGGCGAAACCCAGGTACCTAAGCTGCTAGGCTATCCGCAGGTCCGTTTCAAAAAATTATGGCGCCATAACCTAGATTAGTTAGCTGTAGAGGCTGAGGGAGTTCATTTACCAATCCAATATTAAATGAGCAGTTTTATAAAGTAAGAACATAGAATTTCTATTGTCATATTTGTATCCATATCACTTTATATGTATGTAGGTAGATAAAATCCTCTACATGTTATCAACTTGTCAATAACTCAATGACCTAATAACGAGGAGAAAAACAATCGAATATTTGATAATTGTTATTGTTATCAATCAACAATTAACAACGGCAGTTATTAATTGTTATAAAATATTGTCAAAGCAAAGGCTAACTTCGTTTTGATAGATGTCAGAAAAGTTGCTAAACGCAGATACTTGTTCTACCATCTACATGATCAGTTCGCTGTATTTAGCAATTTTTCTTTATAGAAAGAAATCGGATTGGTCGATTACAAGTTGGGTCATCTTTGTTCTACACATATTAAAAAGTAACTAACCCCACACTTGGTTTTTCTTCTGTATCGTGAGTTCATGACGGCGAGGCGGAACTATATAGGCGCGGAACAACAATTTATGGAACACAAATAATTGTTCCGTGCAGGAATTGAACCAGCGACACGTTGCGCAACAGCCAGTTGCCCAGCTACTGAGCCAAACGACGAAACCGACCGAGACCGAACCAACTACGGCTGAATTCTCTAGCACAGAAATTTACAGAATTCAGCCACGCATTGAGTTACACGTTAGTCGTGGTGGCCCGGAAGTTTAAGACGCCCACTTCTCATGCATGAGGGTGCGGGTTCGAAACCTACCAACGGCAAGTACCAATGTGACTTTTTCCGAGTTATATGTACTTTCTAAGATTATTTAGACACCACTGACAAACGGTGAAGGAAAAACATCGTGAGGAAACCTGGACTTATAATTTCTAATTATAAGTTTGAAATCGCCAACCCGCATTGAGCAAGCGTGGTGATTAATGCTCTAACCTTCTCCGTGTGAGAAGAGGCTTTGCTCAGCAGTGGGCATTTATAGGCTGTTGATGATTGAGTTACACAATATATTATAAACTATTAGACTAGCAATTAATAGTCCCTGTTTATCAACAAATTAAATTATTGTGTAACATCTTATCTTAACCTTTCAAGAGTTCAGAAAAGTTAAGAAATTATTTAATTTTTGTTACTGGGCAGAGAGCAAGGAACGCCCGAAACAGTATCACAAAATATACGAAAAAAAAACATTCTACATTCCTTCCAATCCCTTATCAGTGATGTAATGAATAATGCCATTTAACGATAATGATCGGTAAAGAATTCAATTTCCGAAGCAATAAGAGTCAACACGATTCCCTGAATTATCACATTTTTTTTTAATTTTCTCACACACTTAATAGCTCCATTCTCTCTATACCTAAGCCACGATATCATAAATGTTGTATGAAATCAATATCAGAGAACAATGTGTGAAGGGTTTTTCAAACGGAAACATACGAAAACAATATCAACCAAAAGGTTAAAAGATCAAAAGATAATTGATACAATTCCAGAAAAAAAAATATGAATGTAACTCATATTAATATCATGAAATAATAAAAAGATAAGGTGTGGGTAACAAAAACAAGTTTCAACTTTAATTCAAGCATTTATTGTTAATATGAATTGCATTCATAAGACTACTTGATACATGACGCTATGGAATGTTACGTATACATATAGGTATGTTACTTTACTATGGAATGTTTCATTTGACACCATCATGGTACCAGTACACAGTACACGTGACACTAACCGACTCAAATTACCACACCACAAAGTGATTCATTGCGAAATTTTATTATGCCAAGTACTATGATGGGTACATTTGCTGTTTCTGACAAAATTCTACCTATTCACTTAAATAACATTTAATAAAATTTGTTCAAATACTTCTAATAACAAAAATAAATAACTAATCACAATTTTCATTTTTGTTCATTTGAACTCAGCTCGAAGTTTGTTCTGGAAAACTTAACAAATAAATTACAAAAGCAGGTAACTCATAAAATATGTAATACCAACTATGGTAAATGTAATCTTTATTTAATATTTTGTCAGAAACTATTTATAAAGAACAGACAATTACATATCTAGACATTTCATATTAGAACATGGAACACATAACAGATTTTACATACATGTATTTATGAGATTCTGGTTATCAACATTAGTCATCAAGACACATCACACATAAAGAGAATGGTGTTATAGGATTCCAACAGCTAGACACATATATGTTCTAAATCACCTCTAGACATTGAAACACCTTAGTCAGTAACACAGATTGATATGAAATAATCTAGATTATTACAGCATATTAATATAGTATATAGAAGCTAATAATTTATAATCTCATTGATAGTTTGGCAAATATTCAAGTAAGAAAGCTACTCCTAGATAGTGGAAGATATCTATCTACTCATCATCAAAATAGTCCACATGCTCACCGGGACTGAATTTGCCCTGCAAGAGGACTTTCAAACATTTCTTTGCAGTTATTTCTGGCTTTAGCAGAGCACCTTGGGACCTAAATGATGTAAATACCTCCCTCAAGTTAGCATTGACTGTTTCAGCCAACACATAGTCAATCATAGATGTCTCCACAGGTCCAGGAGAGTAGTTCAACACTCTGATGTGCTTCTTCTCCTCAGCCAGTACCTTGAAGTACATCTCCCTAGCAGCCTTACCACTGCAGTAGCTGGCCATACCACTCATAGGTTTAATGGCACACAAAGATGTCACATTCACAATAACAACTCTGTCTTCAACATCCTCGAAAACTTTGAGGAATTGAGTATTCAGAGAGATTACATTGAACACATTTAAATCATAGTAATGTCTCATTTCCTCCACATTCTCCATGCGCTCAGTCTCCACTGACAGGTTGCCCAGTGAGCCAACATTATGGAAAATGACACTGGTTGCAAAATCAGTAACATTGTACCCTTTTAGAGAAGACTGAATCACACTGAGCATGTCTGCTGCAGATGCTTTAGAGAGATCCATAGACTCAAAAACAATATTAACATTATCAGATTTACAGAGGTCGGCTGTCTTAGCAAGTTCCTCTTTGTTACGGGCCAATAGTAACATTAAGGATTTTGGGCCAAGGTGCTTTGACAGTTCCACTGCAATAGCCCGGCCTATTCCCTGTGAGGCCCCTGAAAGTACACAGTAGGTAGCCCCTGATAAATCAATATTAATAGCAGATGCGGATGCCATGATTACTTACAATATTCTTAAATAATTTGAGAAGTTACTCCTGCAACAGTTTTTCGTTCTCTGTATCTCCTATGACCGGGTCGAGGTCACAGCCCTCACGCATCAATCGGTCAATGCAATCAGCCCTGTATGCTGCTAAGTTCTCAACTACTTTATTCTTGGACTTGACTGCCTTCAGTTTGCGCTCTGTAAATTAAAATACAGTTCATAAGTTTTTTTGCATATTACAAAATCAAATATATGTTTAGAAACACTAAAATAATTTACCAAGAAAAGGGTAGAGTTAAACGAAAGTTTTATGAATAAAGGGAATTGTAGTTTGCGTACGTTCGACCTTCGAACAGTAGCGGCGTAACAGCACGGTGCGCGTCGGGTAGTGAATGTGGCCGCCGGTCTATTTGACACTCAATATATTTCGCAACCGCCGCACTCAGCACTGCCCCACATTAAGTTACATTGTGAAACAAAACAACATCTAACCAATCAAACGTCGTTAAAATACGATTAGAACTTGAACTCATTATCAATTACCTAAAATTGCGAGATACTGTTCAGAATCGGATAGCTTCTCCGATACGGAAGTTGGTTGAAAATTATCTTCAAACTCTGATAGAACCTCAGAATTCCCAATTTCACTGCCCCAAGGATCCATCAAACTCTGTAAATAATACGCAAAAGAAGAATTTTATTACAATAATATTTACTTACGAAAAGCGTATTACAGCACGACAATAAGGCTATCAAACTAAGAAAACTATTTGTTAAAAACTTACTCAAACATAGGCTGGACGCCTATTGGGTAGTTGATAAAACGATGGTGGAAAAGATTTTGTACAAAAAATAATAGGTACAAATAATACAATTCTTCAAAGCCTGACAAAATCAAATCAATGACATGACATTTTAATCATGTTCCAGACCCTGATATGTATGATTATAAGCATTTAATTAAAAGAGTATTTTATTTTATTATAAGTTATCTGACAATTATTACAAATTAATCACCTTTGACATTTTAATTTTCATATTTTCTTAAGTGACAAGAATAATTACATTATTGAGTTCAGTCAAAATTATTTAATCGTTTGCAGTTTTGAAAGACACATGCTATAACATGTAACTTAGCTTTAATGGAACGCGATGTCACGACGAACCAGAGACAAAAATAAACATTTTTTACTGCCAGTATGCTCCATTCCATTACACTTTAGTTATACCGGCAATTACTTTTGTAAATTATTATCTTTTAATAAACTAGGTTTTTTTTAAATGAAATTTATTACACAAAAATTATTTTAGAACTGAATACGAAAATGAAACCTCTATAATCTTAAAAGTCATGTATAGATCATTAACCATAGACCCATAGATGAAACACCTCTGTAGTCAGAGAATATTTTGGCGGGAAAGAAATGCAGATAAAGGTCTTCATAGGTACCCTGTAAAATACAGTCGGAAGGTCCCTCTGTATTTTACAATGATTACGTGTCGTGTGTGCCACAATATCAAGACCAATCGTAATTACAAGGGAGCCAACTAAGTAGTATAACATATTAATAGGTACTAATATTGTTTTTGGAAAGTGGATATGAACTGGTATTTATTGATAATGACGATGAATGAAATTACGATAAATAAAAATTATTACTATTATCATGAATATATGACGCAGGTTTTGTTCTGCTAATGTGACTGTTGTAGGATGGTTGCAAGCGTGTTGAATTGAAATGGACCGTGCAAAGGTCAAAATTCATATGAAATTATGCAATTTAGACAATAGATATTTACCTAAAGACCTACTTAAGCTTTATTTGAAAATGTGCTCGATACACTAAATATTATGTATGAACATAGAAAAAAATACTATGGCGTGACTATAACTATCCAACGGAACCATTTATAAGCTAAGAACTTTGTTTAGGTTCTCTTTCTAACTTTCTAAACTTTTCTAGACAAAAGCCTGACTAAATACTTATCATCAGTTCTTCAGCTTGGTTTAACACTCTATCTGTCTAAAATTATAATAAAGAACCCTGCGTGATAAAGGCTGAACTAGGCACCTAAATATGTAACTACCCAGAAAAGGTGTTCGACTTGATTTGAATAGGTAGGTACAGTCGTCGCATCGTGCCGGCGCGCATCTAAATGTTTTCTAAAAAAAATGTGTGGCAAGCCTTAAATAGTACCTATGCGTGAATTATATAAACTTGAAAATATAAAATATGCCCGTATACAAAATAATCTTAACTCCTTTGCGTTAAAGTTTAAGTTTGATTACCAACTGTATAATTTATAACAGAACTGATTTGTGCTGTTCTAGAAATATACTCTATACTTGAGGCATAAAGTTTATTTTTGAATAGGTGATATTTGTAGCGATAAAAGCAGTTTTCGCGGAGCTCGAGTGAGCGGAGTAGACGCAGCTGCCCCGCCCTCCCCGCGCCCCGCGCCGCAGCTCTCCGCGCGCCTCGCACGCCCCGCGCGTGTCGCGATACCAAAGATTAAACGAATACCTAGAGCGGCCACTTCATTATATCTACTTTGCCTTTAATTATCTTTCTTCAGATAAGGTAGAAGGCAAAATGAATTTCCATTATTGAATTTTACTTATTTGACATGAATTACATGTTTTTAGAGGAACATTTTATTTATAAAGAATGTACCTAATCAGAGCAGAATTTAAAATGAATTTCATCTAATTGTGCTGTTAAAGGACTTCCTATCTACCTGTCCACGCACCGCCGTGCCCTCAGGGATGTGATCGACGACGGCGACCTCTCGCGTCCGGCTCTATTCCGGGCCATAATGCAGAACGAGGAAGACTTGGGTGCCGTCTCCTCCTTTTGCGAAGCAGTCTTTCTAGCTGCTAGTGTGTAAGGCAGCGCAGCGCTGCCTGCTCGCAACTCAGCCGTCGCGAAAGGACACTCTGGGCGTCGGGGATCGCGATACGATCTCGGGCCAACGTAAGCACGGCTCAGAGAGCGGCGGGCATGTGATGCCATACATGCAAAGGTGCACCAAAACTAAAACCCTGGGCTAACACCATCATGCAAAACCTACCGTGTATGGTTTCCACCCACATGACAAAGAAGTTTTGACAAAATCATTGTATTGTTACTGATGAAGTGATGAAAATGACCTATAACTACGAGTCATTACTAAATACTAATGCATTCTTTTATTTAAATTATTAAATAGGTAATAGTCAAAATAGCCATTCCTACATTCACGACTACATGACTGTGACAACCGGTTTTATTGCTATATAAGACATGAACCTAAATCATTATTCTTATAAGAATTTTATTGGAGAGGAAAAAACTAAAAACGCAAAAATGTTGATTTATATTTTATGTGTATTATTTTCAAATAAAGTGAACATAACCAAAATTTAGGTACACAATGTTATTGCTTTTAGAAATTTTGGACCAATAAATATTTAATTAACAAATAATGACAAAATTATTCAGCATAAATATATAGATAAACTTAAATAACTTAAGTATGAATAAATATATACAACTTAAAACACAAATAATTAAAGTAACATATTTACACCTTTAAAAATGTTACCTTAGTCTTGGGGCATCAAAAATTTTTTTTTCTCATCCCTATAGTGAGGTAGGTTGCCCAAAAGACTGGCAGCATGGCCACGTTGAATGGCAATGCTTAACATTTGGCCAAGGTAGTAGCCAGCCCTTCGATCACCTGAAGTGTCAACCATCCTCCTTCCAATATCTTTTTAAAGAAGATGTGTACTTGGGCCCCACGGCCCTAAATTTTCAACCCCAAACGGTTCGAAAGCATTATCGAGGTTGCAGCAGTAGCAGCGGCAGCACCGGCTCGACACGCTGAGCTTGGAAGATGGGATGGTGCTAGAGTATCAACGCAAGTGGCGTCCCACACTAAAGGCCTACCCATCTTCCATGGAAATAATGACATACCGTCGGGTCTCTTGCCATCCATCGTCGCGTACTAAGACATTAGGTTCTAAAGTTGCTGTCACGCCAACGGAGACAAAAGCTATCAATCAAATTAACCAGTGATTGAGAAAGAATTTTCCTGGTTAATTCTTCAGTACCATGGGCGGAAGATATGAAAGCCGGTAGGCTTACATACGTATAAATTAATTTTAAAACTCGACTCAGAGACAAGTCAATTTAATATAGATTTAATAAAGAATACCTATCTGTACAAGTTTGTTATTATAGATCATGCACTTCGAATATATTACCATTCACAGGTAGGTAGTATGTATAGTACCTAATGTATTACATATTAACTACACAAAGTTTTACGAAAAGATGTGAAATACAAATATTGAAGATGTCATTTAATATAAAATTCAACACGGATACAAATTGTTTACCTAATTAACTATCTATTGATTATAATCTATGAGACAGGCGGTCCGCGGCTCGCGCCGCCATTCTGGATATTTTGACGGGAAGGTCGGTCACGTGACTCGACGGCGGGCGCGGGCGCGGGTCGCGGGGCGCCGGCTAGACTCTCCAGTAGCCGAGCCATCCGTCTGCTGCTTTGACTGCGGCCGGTCGCCGGAATCCACGCCCCAGTCTCACGCGTCCGCATCTATTACGTACCATTTTGTTCTATTGAGACCGGTATTTTATGAATGCAATTTATCAATACAAAAAGGATTTTGCGATTGCAGTGCGTGCAGTACCAATTTTTTAGCAAGAGGTGCGTTTGTTTTGTGTCAAACTGAGGTTATTTGCGTATTTTTTGCACGGGTGTGCGTGCGGCGACGGGGCGGAGACGCCGACATTGAGCAGAGTGTGCTCGGCCGGGCCGTCGCGACGGCATACTCGGCTCGGCAGACATGTTTCGGTCGCGGCCGGAGCGCGTTGTGCGTGCAGGCGCGTAGGGTCGCTCGTGACATGCGCCTGCGGAGCCGCAACGACAGTGGAGGTGATCGAACATGGATGTAGTGACGCCGCATATCACCTCCGTGCTGAAGACATACCAGGCGAGCGCGCCGCGCAGCCTGCAGGGCCCGGGCTGCGGGCGCGCCGAGCCTTGCGGCGACGCGCCGCCGCCGCCACCGCCGCCCGCCGCTCCGCCGATCCTGCTCGCCGCCGACACCGTGCTGGGCGAGCGAGGCGAGACACTGCTAGAGGGCGAACCCATCTCATGCTTCAGCGTGGGTGGCGAGCGGCGGCTATGCTTGCCACAGATCTTAACTTCGGTGCTGACGGACTTCACGTTAGAACAAATCAACCGCGTGTGCGACGAACTGCAGATCTACTGTTCGCGGTGCACGCCTGAGCAGCTGCATGAGTTGAAGTCGACGGGGGTGCTGCCCAAGTCAGCACCATCGTGCGGCCTCATCACTCAGACGGACGCGGAGCGGCTGTGCGCGGCACTGCTGCACGCGCCAGCCGCCTCGCGCCCGCACAAGTTGCCGGGCTTCCGGGTCTACCACGAGTGCTTCGGCGGCGCACGCGGCGTCTGCGCCGTCGACCTCAACTTAGTGCAGTGTTTGGAATGTCGATCTCTATACACTCCTCGCCGCTTCGTGTGTCATTCGCACGAGTCGGAGCACCGCACTTGCCATTGGGGCTTTGACTCGTCGCGATGGCGACGCTTCCTGCTGGTGGCCGAGGAGGAGTTAGACAAGGAGAAGTGTGGCGCGCTGCTGGACGACCTGGCCGCGCGGGATGTGGCGCCAGCTCCCGCGCTTCCTCCAGTGCCGCTCAAACAGCAGAGTTTACCGTTGAAAAGAAAACAGGTAAGATTATCCTATTTGCACCTATATTATATCTACATTAGTCATTGAATTTATATCTGGTCCTTATTGGATTCTTACAGAAATCAAACTTAGTTACATTTTCCATTAATGAAATACTACTTACCTACCTACCTACAGCCTTTCACTAAACAACCTATTATTGTCATTCGATTAATCAAAAGTACCAACTTCATGATAGGTACCTAATTCGCAATTAGTATATTAAACCCTATTTACTTTAGAATAGAACCTAACAAAGGCTCCCCGCCATCCAACCTCTCGAAAGCACTAATAATTTAGCTGCACTGCACCGTCCATTTAGATGACGGCACATTTCCGCATCCATTGTGCTTATACCCACTGATTATCATCACAGATACGTACTGTGGCCATGTATTAACGAGATAAATAGTGTTATCAGGCCGGCCAGTGTCACACGAACATGTGCAAGTGAATACCTACTCATTGTTAGCTAAATGACGTATTGTAACCGCAAAATAATTATGCAATGTGCACGATAAATGTGTTATAGATGTTGATTGTTATAAAGCACCTACATTATTCATGGGCTGGACAGAGGAAGGGATTTCTCTTTTGAACACGATGGAGTTGCTAACGCCAATGACAATTTAGTGTCTGTTGCCAATCAATAAACGTATCGATAGCGCACGAAGTAAAATCGATGATTTAAGAGAAATTAATCGTATCGAGCACCAACTGCTGCCCCGCTGCCGTTTATCGGCAAACGATTGTTTATATTTTATGTGTTTGTATTTTTGAGTCTGCGAAACTGTTATTTGTTTAGTCTGCTAACTCCAATCGTTATGTAAGGTCACTGCGCCTGCGACTTCTGGCTGACTTCTTGCCCTACTAGCAGCAGCTTTGTTTATTAATATCTAAGATAAACACGATACCTACTACTATCCAGTGTAAATATTGTGCAAGTAATTATGCGAGCCGATGTAAGTGAATATTATTAAATATTAAACAAATAACATCGGACCCGTGTAGGTACTGAAAATGGATATTTTCATAATACTGTATTCTCTAATTATTATATCTGTATTCACTAACTCGTAGTCGTAATACTTTTACCTCATTACGTCAAGATACACGTGTTACTGGTTCTGCGGTAGGTAATATAAATTAATAATGAATGAACGGTTTTCATGTGTGCCCGCATGCCTATATACAAAACACAATGTGAGCTGATTTCCACGTGATCGTCTGATCGATCCTAAACAAAGCTATGACCAATCAATACCTACTCATAGACGTCTCCTAACATGGTAGACCTTGCTATTAATATCATTGACTAGAATTATCCTTCCTGATGCACCGGCGTGACCTAGTTCCTATGTAGAGCAAGTTAAGGAATGTACTACATTCCAGCCAGACTGAAATCGACCACGACCTTTGCCCAAATTGAGATAAAATACAAATGTTAACTAATCATGATTATGCTGTTTTGATCCCCAATCGTTCACCGCCATAATATTTTGTCTGAATAAACTTTATTTAATATAACATTATCACAGGATTTGCAAAAACAACTTTATCAGTTGTCAGATAAAATACATATTATATTATGTACCTATGAGGCGCTAGATAGTTGGTTTATAGTGTTTACTAAGTTGTAATTGGCTAGACTCCGGTGGGTTTTTGTAAACTGCGCAATGTTTTGATAGGTTAATAGAAGCGTAGTTCTAATTTATTAGATTAATAAATTACTAACTAACAAAATTGTTGGTATTTCCACAAGAATTTTCTTTAAAAACGTCTTATTTTGCAAAATCAACTAGGTAAGTAGAGAGATATAATAAATAGTTTATATTAAAATGGACACATAGACTACTTGCCTTAGTCATAACGAGAACCAACGACAAAAAGAGACAGATAAAATTCACATTGTTCCGGCTTAATTAACTAATTTGTTAATAAGTTGGGTGTTTCCAGTTACGTAAGAATTCTATGATAGTTATTTTTGTTAGATATATAAAATAGAGGCCGTTGCAGATAGCTTTACATCTGTAGGTAATTTTGAAATATGGTGGACGTATTATGCACTGGATTGGTACTGGAATCACCTCTAGACGCATCCATGTCTACAATTTACGTCTCATCTTTTATAAGTACAAAAATACGTGATAATGTGTTACTTATCATAATTATTTTTTTGAAATTGTAATTACAGTCGTCGGAAATTACTAAGTGAGTAATTAGGTATCTATAATTAGGAATTACCTACCTATCTAGATAGGATTACAGATCATAAGCTCTAACATTGTTTTCGATATGGTTTCACATATGTGTTACCTGAGTATCATACATATTTTGTCTTCACAGCATCGTATCAGCCGTAAGACATCGCAGGTGAATGTAGACTTCTGTCAATTACTTAAACCATTGAAGTTCTGTCTTATTCAAGTATATTTATACACACACAGCTTCGGGAAGTGGCAAGATGTCTGAACCAGTTGAATCACTTGAACAGAGTGTTGTGTTACATAAATTGCTCAATTTAAAGATGGCGATCAGCTCATCTGTTAGACAGTAACCTGTTTAAGGTTTATTACTGACATTGCAGCTGAGTTTTAAGTCTCTGGATCATATAGCAACATGGATCAAATATCAGATAGAGATAGCCACAAACTCTGTAATCTTTTATGATAATGATCATGTGTATTGCGAATGAATTTATCAATAATAATATGTGGGTTTTAGAAATCCCGCAAATTCCCGGCTTATAATTATTTATTTAATTCTTAATAACCCCACGAAATCCCAAGTAAATGAACGTCTACATCATGCAATATGCTGTTTATCTGTAATCGCTACCAGATACAGATAACTTAAAACCTATAATTTCCTCGATCCAAAACTGATACACCATTGATATTACGGTAGCAAATTACGATTCGATCGCTTCCATCAACGATACAAAAACGAGTTACGGTTATCTTAAGTGGCTGTAACTGCGCTGCACGTAGCTAAGCAGACATGGCGGAGTTACCATTATACTAAATAGGTACATACGTAATGGAGCGCCTAAGGGCTACACAAAACACGTGTATTAAAACTAGGGGATACATATTATTACCACAAAAATGCCTCGGTAATGACGTTTCCTTAGATTGAGCCATTTTATTCAAAACAATGTATTCTTACTACATAGCTAGATACGTATTTTGTAAAACTGTTCACCATATCAATTTATTGATGGTATACATTAACCAGAGCTTTTGTACAATTGATCCCCTTGGTAGAAAGCTTCACCCCTGGGGATCTACAATACATTATCAAGAGTCGTGCTAAACAATGGCGGTCTCGTTTTACACACCGTCTGCGTTCCACTCAGGCGCAGGGTGTAATTATGCGAGCGTGTCATGCGCAGCTCATAAACGACGCATGAGCGCATTATCTTTCAAGTAATATTAGCCAGTGCTGCTTGGTAATGTTCACTGCAATTTTGACGTCAGGAACAAAAACGTTTTAAATAGGGTGTCTGGTGTCCCGTATGCACTTTTTTGTGCCGGAATTAGTTAAGGTCTTTGTGACTATCCTTACTTATATTATAAATCGGAAAGTGAGTTTGTTTGTTTGTTTGTTCCACTTTCACGCCGTAACTACTAACCCGATGGCTTTGAATTTTTGCAGACGTAAAGTTAGAAGTCTGGATTAAATAATAGGGTACTTTTTATCCCGGAAAAATTTGATATTCCCGAGGGAAAACAAAAGTATTGGTATAGATGGCGCTGTATGTATTGGTATATACCAATACATACAGCGCCATCTCACATCAGCGCAGTCACATAGGCTATTTTTTATCCTTTTGTGACGCGAGCGAAGCCGCGG